TGGTTGCTCTTCTTTGTCTCCTCAGCAGCTACACCCTCGGTTTCCTGCAACAATTCAACCAAAAGGATGATAACATAAGAAATAAAGGGAAAATGTAAGTCTACATTTGATGTATTTTCCATTATCATCAAGTTAATACCTCAGCAGTTTCCTTCTTGGCAGCCGCCTTCTTCTTCCTGCCAATGTCAACACCATAGTGCTGAAGGTACCACTGCTTAAAGGGAGCTGCATCAACCTGAACAATTGCACTCTTCACCAGAGTTTGTGTTCGAACAAGTTCATTGTTTGAGGCATTGTAAACCACATCAAGGATACGTGTTTTCCTAGTAACTGCCTCACTACCCCATGAATAATTTCCTGTATCCAACCTCAGTGCCCTCCACTTCACATTGCCCCCTCGTACACGAATTCGTCTCACTGTTTTGTTGCTAGACAGCTTAGTATTTGCAGGCTGACGTCCAAGCTCATACCTTTCAAGAATACAGAGAATCTAAGTAAGAAAACTATTCTGAAAGATTTTACTTACAACGAAACCATTAACAATTGAGAACATAGGGATAAACATGCTTCAGGGAAACTACAACCCAAAGGTCAGGCAAACCATAAAAATAGCAAATGAAATAGTTACACTGAAACCATTAACAATTAATAACACTGGGATAGGCTGATAGGCATATATTCTCTGAGAAACTACAATCTGTTGGTCAGGTAATCCGTAGATGGAAAAAGAAACAACTACCAATCGTACAATATTAACCACCATGAAAAGCTAGTTCATTGGAACTGAACTGCTAAAGTAAAAAGGAAAGAGGAGCCTGGAAGAGTGTTTTTCAAAATCCTAAAAGAACCCATAATCCCATGCACAGAAACTTATTCCATTTCTCATTATTTTCCTAGTTCCTTTCTACAATGGACCTGATCCCATTGCTAAGCTGCTAATTGTAGTCCTTAATGTATGAGATAGAGCACAATACCATCAGAAAACAATCCATTTTAAGTTTAAAATAGTACTCTCATATGCCAAAACTTATGGAATTAAAATTCAGCACTATATAGGTTTCAGATGCAATACTTAACAACCATTCCAATACATACAGACAAGACTCATAGAGCTATAGCGTATATCAAAAGATCCAGAAAGAAAAATCACAGAGACAAAAACTGTAACAGAACCAAACTTACTTTCGCTTCTTCCTCCACGCCTTCTTCTTGCCACCAGTGGCACGCCTCTTGTGCATTGAATCCCTAGAGATACCTGTAAACACATCGTACGAAAATCACTAAGGTTATACTCGCATTCACACAGGAAACCAAACTGAATCGAACATATATCGTGCATAGATAAACACACGCATAAGGATTATAATTGCGAGCATAACATTAGAATCGCTAATCAAAATCATTTAAGGAATCAGAGAAGAGAGACGATGAAGGTTGAGATCGTTACCCATGGCGAGAGCGTAGCAGCTAGAAGAGCTATATGCAGCGTATCCTTACCAGTCCTCGCAAGAGTAGCTTCAACACAAACCCTAGCACTTTATATACTGGGGACTGTAAGTGATTTGGGCTTATAGTGAATATTGGGCTTCTTTGTGTTACTATTCTTCTGTTGGGTTTCTCTTGTCTGATTTGTGTTGGGCCTTTGGATTATCCTTCCAACTTTAGGCCCAAAAGTTATTTTTCGACAAATTATTGTGTGAACCACGGTCCAAAACGACGTCGTTGAATTTTATGAGTTAAAATAATATGCATTCTGTGTTAGAATAATGAAATTTTTGGGATAAGATAATATACTTTATAAGTTAGAATAATGTACATTATAAATTATGAAAATGTATCTTATAGTGGTTCGCGTGAAATTTATTTTTTTATATGTAAAACGACATCATTTTTAGACCTTCCTCTTACAACAAAACCAACTAGATTTGACCTTGATGCCATAGAATCTAACTGAAACTTCAAATGAAAAATTGAAAGTAATTATACATAGCTTATGATCGAATAACTTCAGACTTGTTTTGCACTTCTAATTTCATAATTACAAAAGTAAATGCTGCCAAGGACCTTGTGATCGAGTGGTCTGGTGGAGCGGTATTGACTCTTTGTACTTCAATAGGTTGAAAAAATAAATTTAACAGATACTACAATGTAACAGAGTCAGTAGTACTAAAAAAAATACTAATTGTATTTGAATTACATATTCATCATGACAAAATCATCACACTTCTACTAACAATTTGTATTACTCATCAAAAGAAGTCATACTATCAAGAGATAGTGCAGAATCAAGGCAAGAACTATAGTTCATGACTTCATGGTCATCTGCATTGCCACCATATGATGCCTTCCCATTCACTGCTACAAGCTCTGTGTCAAAGATGAGTGGTTGCACCACCTGCAAATGTGTTAATTTAACAAGCTCGTAAATATAAGTGTGTTTTTATCCCCGTACTGTACTATTTTCTTAAATTATTATAAACGGTTAAAACTGTATAAGTGTATACCGTCATCATAATCTTAAGAATGCCAAATAGCAAGAGGGTGTATCATTAAAAATAATGTTCAAACTTTCTCTCGTCACTTAAAAAAAAAATGTTACGTTAGTTGAAAGTGGATAAGATTGCATAATATACCTTGAATTACTTGATCACTCCTGAGTTCAAATTCTATGGGTTCACTTGTTTCATAGCTAGAATCAAATACAGTTCCATCGATAAGTTTGCCCTATCAAAATCATTACAAAAATCACGTTTAATTATATACTAAGATTCATACAATATTATATTTATGAAATCATCAATTAAAGAAACAAGAAAGTGTCATATAGGTTAAAGTTAATTAAATTCTCACTCAAATCTTTGAATGATACATATCCAATGGGATCAAGGGTTGCATCACTCACCCGATAGTGCACTTTGACTTTATCACCTTTGTGAGCTTGAACAAATGTCTTGGCTTATATACTACAAAATGCAATCAAAGTGCGAAAAGTAAGTTTGAATCATATCATGAACAACTGAACATCAATTGTTATCGTACAATCAGACAACGTTCAATCATACTTATGTATAAGATATCCAAACTTCAACATTCATATACAATAGAATCACATCATAAAACAATGTGAATAGAGTCAATAAACAAATAAAAGCGCAACTCAATACTTTACTTGACGCCAATTTGTAGCTCCGTCGCATCTCTAAATTTTTTTGTTGCAGGTGAATACAAATTTAGGAATAAATTTTTTTAAAAAAAATTAATTGTCAATTGTCTTTTATGACAATACTTTACTACGTATATATGTATAATCAAATTTTAAAAATATTCACTCAGAAAATTTGTAGTTTACCTAATGTAAGTAACAATCAAGAGAAGAAGAAAACTTGAAGTGCCGTGGAAGAATCTCATTTCCGACCACAGATCTTGATCTGATTTGATTATTCCGGCGACGGCGATCGGAGAGACAACGTAAAATTCATGATTACAAAATTACAAGAGTGGATGTTCTATGCAATAACGAGTGATTGGCCAATGAGCGCTTTCCACGTAAGTAAAAGAAAAGGCTAAGAAGTACGAGGTCGTTTGGCATCAGAGAAATAAATAGTGACAATCGTTATACTCTGCACCACGGCACACATAGCATTGTGCGTTTCGTGTAGAGCTGTCAAAACGGGCTCAACCCGTCGGGTTGGACCCGTTTAACCCGTATTTTACACGGGTTGGGTTGGAGGATTTCCAGCCCGTCCCGTGTAACCCGTGGAGGATACGGGTTGGCCCGTATAACCCGTATCCCCACCCACCCCACTTCCAAATGTGTTGTATAATTGGGTATTTTATTAATGTTTAAAAATTTTGTTGCTAACAAGACTTGAACCCTTAATCTTTTATTTAAGTTATTTAAGTTATTAAATTATTACTATTAAAACCAACTACACTAAGAACACATGTTGAACATTTTAATATAATTATATATCTATTTACATCATTCACAAGCAATACTAAATATATATCTATACTAATTAATACAATTAATTGTATCATTATATAAATATTAATTTAAAGTTTATTTATTATATAAACTACATAAAGTAATAAATTATATATTTATAAACTTTATAACTTAATACTATATATTATAATTACAAATAAAAAATATTACATGTAAAATATATTAGTATTAAATATAAATTAAATAAATTATAATTACATATTAAAAATTAAAATCTACTTTTATATGTGTATATGTCATATGTGTATATGTTATATGTGTATATACATATTTGTTAACCATGGTTAATGTGGTTGATTGGAAATAGTCTTGGTTACTAACTTAGAGGCCATGACTTCAATTTTTAAGCAATACGACAATAAATATTTTAATCACGTAAATTAAAAAAAATAATAATAATAAACGGGCTGACGGGCTGACCCGTTTAGCCCGTCAGCCCGTCCTACACGGGTTGGGTTGGGAAAATCCCAACCCGTGAAAAAACGAGTCGGCCCGTCCCGTCCCGTTTCTAGTTGAATCCGTGACGGGCCAACCCATATGGGCCGGGTTGGCCCGTTTTGACAGCTCTAGTTTCGTGCATCCCAAAATGACGTCGTTTTGGTAAGTTATGTAGGGAATTTATGTGATTATATGCATTTATTTATACAATTATATGTATTTTTTTATACAGTTATGTCTATTTATTTATACAATTATGTGTATTCTAGTATAAAATTATGTACATTTTTGAACATGAAATTTTTTTTAAGGAAAATTAACCAACACTGGGTAGCGAAATTAAATAAAATAAAAAAAAAAAAAAAAAAAAAAAAACTGAAACAGCGTTGTTTTGCATCAAGGCACACAATGCAATGCGCGCTCTGGTGCACAATATAAATTGCCAAATAGTGACGTCAAAATCTCACGTAAGCTTTCCACCCGCTTAGTTAGTTCTCTCTCTCTCTTCTTTTTCCCTTTCTCCACAATTCAAGCTTCTATCACAAAGCCCAAACCTCCCCCCCTCTCTCTCTCTCAGTCTCATTCTCTCTCTCTCTACCCCAAAGATGGTGGCGATTATGCGATGAGAGAGAAACACGGGAACGCCGCCGCTGCTCCCACCACCACCACCTCCGCCGTCGCTGCCGCTGCCACCAGCGTTAACGGAGAAATACCACAACCAATATTGCATGCACCTCTTCGATAATAATGAATGGAGAGAAACAGATTATTCTTTCTGAAACTGTGCTGTCTGATCGTAACCACCACCGCCATCCTCCTCCACCATCATGTACTGGTTGCCGTCGCGGATGATGCCACCGTCATGGCGAATCTCGCTAAATCTCTCACCCCGACCCCGGCCGGGTGGACCGGAGGAGACGCCTGTAGTTGGCCCGGCGTGAACTGCAACGGCATGGGGAATGTCAGATCGATCAATCTGTCTTCCATGGCTGTCGCCGGCAGATTGCCGCCGGATCTTAACCGCCTCTCCAGCCTCAAATTTCTGATCCTCCAAAAGAACAGACTCTCCGGCCAGATTCCTTCGTTTTCGAGTCACACTTCCCTGGAGCATCTAATGCTCGACGATAACAAGTTCACCTCCGTTTCCCCCAATTTCCTCGCCGGCCTGGCGAGCATAAGGACGATCAGCCTTAACGAGATTCCGACTCTTTCGCCCTGGAAATTCCCGGCCGAGATCACGGAATCTCCGTTCCTCGTTAGCTTTTCCTGCAGCAGATGTAGTCTCTACGGCGAAATTCCAGACATTTTCGGATCAATTTCCGGTTTACAGATTCTAAGGCTTTCATATAATAACCTCACCGGAACCCTACCCCCCTCTCTGGAAAAATCCGGAATCCAGGAGCTAGCGCTCAACAATCAGCTCCAAGGTCTTACCGGCGGGATCGAAGTGATCGGGAAAATGGAACACTTGTCGCACGTCCGCCTCCATGTTAACCGATTTACCGGCCCGATTCCAGATCTCTCTAGGTGTCATTTCCTGTCTGAGGTTACTCTCCGGGATAATCTTCTCACCGGAGTCATCCCTGACTCATTCACTTCACTCCATAAGCTCAGCCTTGTCTCCTTGCAGAACAACAAGTTTCAGGGCCCCCCGCCTACTTTTCTCCAGGGCGTTCAGGTCACCCTTGGAACTACGAACAATTTCTGTGTTCCATCGACGGTCGCCGGAAATTGTTCCCTGCTGGTGAATATTTTGCTGGAGGTGGCTAAGGATTTGGGATATCCGATGGTTCTGGCGGATTCCTGGACGGGGAATGATCCGTGTAAAAACGATTGGACTTTCATTGCCTGTGATGCAAACGGCGACGTTACGGTCATCAACCTTTCCAACCATAACTGGGCCGGGTCAATATCGCCGGCCATCGGTAACCTCACCGGACTCAAGGAATTGATCTTACATGATAATAAACTCACCGGGGAAATTCCCGATAGCCTAGCTGACCTGCCCGCCCTGCACCTTGTTGATGTCGCCAACAACAATATTTCCGGGGAGATCCCGTCGTTTTCCGACGATGTTATTGTGAAAGTCGACGGGAATCCCTGGATCGGAACAGAATTGCCGCCACCGGGGGCTCCCCCCGATTCGGGAATGAAGAGAAATACCGAACTCACCCCCACGGTGATTGCCGCGATCACCCTCGTCGCCGTCATCAATTTCATCGCGCTTTTCTGGATAATTTACAGGCGGTGCAAAAAGATGAGAAGCCGGAAATATAAGTGGTTGAAGGGGAAAGGGAGCGGCGGCAAGGAGAAATCCGAGGGGCCGCCGGTAAACGTGAGCCCTTACGGCGCAATTACCAGCGAATCCGCGAGCGGCCATGGCAGCAGCGAGATTCCTCTCTACGAAAGCGGCCATGTCCTCATCCCATTCGAAATTCTCCGAGAATCCACCAACCATTTCAGCGACGGCAACATCCTGGGAAGAGGCGGCTTCGGGATCGTCTACAAAGGCACTCTCTACGACGGCACTCGAATCGCCGTCAAGAGGATGGAAGCCAGTCTCCTCACCTCAAAAGGAACCCTAGAATTCAAAGCCGAAATCGAAGTCCTCACCAAAGTTCGCCACCGCCACCTGGTGGCCCTCCACGGCTACTGCGTCAACGGCAACGAGCGGCTCTTGGTGTTCGAATACATGCCGCAAGGGACGCTGGGACAGCATTTGTTCCGACGAGATGGCTTCCCTCCGCTCACCTGGAAGCAAAGAGTCACCATTGCCCTCGACGTCGCCCGGGGCATCGAGTATCTCCATAGCTTGGCTCAACAAAGCTTCATACACCGCGACCTCAAGCCTTCCAACATTCTTCTTGATGATGGCAAGAGGGCTAAGGTTTCGGATTTCGGCTTGGTTAAGAATGCCCCCGATGGTGGCACATCCTTGGAGACCAAGTTAGCTGGAACTTTCGGCTATCTTGCACCCGAGTATGCTGGTATGTTACTAAATCATCCATCTCATTATGCGATTTAGTAGTAGTCTATTGTTATAATTTTTTAAAATTTAGTTACTCAAATGTTCTTAATGTTGTCAATCTGGTCTATCTATGGCCTTTAAGCCTGATATTGATTGGTTCCCAACATCTCTTAAGGATAAGTGTGCATGATCAATCACGTTAAACCAAGCTAGTTAACCTATATAGTTCATTAGTTTCATCGAATCTTCACCGCACTTCAAATCATTAGTTTCATGTGATTTTTCACCACACTTCAAATCCTAGTATGAAGATACAAACGAGGTATATAGGTTGGGGTATGGAGAAATAAAATTGAAAGATGCTCGAGAAACCTAAAGAAAACTCACATAAAACTCTAAAATTAGCGGAATTTTAATGAAAAGTTAACCCTAAGACCAGATTGACAAGATTTGAAACAATTAGGTGATTGATTTTTGAAAACTTATTAAAACAAAGGGATTAAATTGCATAGCGGGTAACAATTAAATTAAAGAATCACAGCTTAAACTTTTTTTTTTCTGAGTATTACTGACTTTGTTACAATGAATATCTGTTCATAACTACTTTGTTGATTTGAAAACATATATATTATATATACAGCGACAGGGAGAGTGACTACAAAAGTGGACGTGTATTCATTCGGGGTGGTGTTAATGGAGCTAATGACGGGGAGAAAAGCGCTGGACGACAGCCTACCGGAGGAGAGCATTCACCTGGTTCCATGGTTCCGGCGACTCCTGGCCAACCGGGAGAAACTGCGGAGCATCCTGGACCCGTGCCTGAACCCGGACGACGAAACCTTCGAGAGCATCTGCCGAGTGGCGGACCTGGCCGGATACTGCACGGCCCGCGAGCCCCAGCAGCGGCCGGACATGAACCACGCCGTCAACTTCCTCTCCCCGCTGGTGGAGCAGTGGATCCCGGTGAACACCGGCGAGGAAGACGACGGGTACGAGAACGACGACGACGACTTCCAGATGAGCTTGCCCCAAGCCCTGCAGCGATGGAAAGCCAACGAAGACAGCACGATGGTTAGCGAGGATTATAGCTACATGTACGGCGACGACAGCTGTACGATGGAGAGATTGCCGCCGAGGGTTTAATTTCCACCTCACTTAGAAAGAATTAAAAAAGATTCCGGTGAGATGATGATCGGAAACACTACTGTGTAAATTTTTCTAATGTAAAAGAAGAAGATAAGCTAAGCCCATCTATCTCAACGTATAGACTGTACGTTGAAATTATTATTATCGGAAAATGCATATTATGATGATGATCATATCGATCGATCAAATTCTGGGTCAATTTGTATGTAAAAATGATGGTCGTCGTTGAGGTTTTTCTGATCTTCTGGATGGTTTCTTTGTTAAGTTAAGTGTTCTTAGACAGACAGAAATAAGGTATGTAGGTACGTAGATGTATGTTTTTCCAGCTTACTAGCTAAATTAGTACAGAGATATGAAGAAGCTAACTTTCATGCATGGTGTATTTTCAGACCCTAGCTAGCAGCTACTATAAATACATTAATTAATTTCTTACTTTTATTCAACCTAACCATTATTAACTATATATATACATATATTTCATGTGATTTTTTATTCTTACTTGTATATACTCATGCATGCTATATATATATATATATATATATATATATATATATATATATATATAGGCCCAATATATAGCTCAAATAATGATGGACAACGGTTAGTTTTATGACTAAAACAATTAAAAACAAGTTAACACAACCACCAATTGCGATTATAAGGAAAATATATAGTAACCGTAGATTAATCAAGCTTAGCGTGCCTTAGGAATGATGGAAAGTCGAACCCCAAACTCCCTTTTTCATGGTATGTATACCCCCAACCGACTAATAATTGGAGTCATACATTTTTATAATTACATTTAATAAATCTAAGGAGAGTAACCCCATCATTAAAACTAGGATGACAATTCAACATGTCGCTCCAAACGAAAAAATCCGGTTGCAATTGCCATCCCGGTAGGGATAGGAACGAGGACTTTTTTCGGGGATGGGAACAGTTTCTTCATCCCTGCGTGGGGACGGGGTTTTTACCCCTACCTCGACCTTGACCCCAACTCCAAATTCCCGCGATACGTATTTATTATATGTTATATTATATTTATATAATTATGTTATATACTACTCACTCTGTCTAATTTTATCTGTTTTACTATTCATTGGTCAAACCAATTCATTTTTCTTTGTTTATTTTTTTAGTATTTTTTACTTATTTTAAAATTTGATTTTTGTGTGTTTAATAATACTTTTAGTGTAGTTTCTAAATATATAAATTTTGTATATTAATACTAAATTTAATATTATGAAAAATTAGATTAAAACTAAATTCAGTCAAACTTCGTTTACCGAACCAGACACGTAATAACAAAACTTTAAAATTTGAACAATCTGGATATTTATGTATTATTTAATTTTTTTTTTTTTAGTATTTTGTACTAGTCAAATTTGATATGATTTGAATATTTGGATGTTAGGCTAATTAGATATTTAAATATATAAAATTTTTAATTAATTGTATTAAAAAAGTGCCTGCCCCACCCCGTTGGCATCACTAATTAATAAAGGCACTCCAGTATTAGCAAATGAACTCAAAAGTCAAATAACATTAATCCCATTCTTCCCAATAACATTAATTCCATAATTGGCCATGCACTTGTTCATTTGACTCCCAGCCTTATGCCTAGTAAGGTTAAGTACTCTTTGGTCAATAGTTATGCTGTGCAACCGTGTGCACCATGCAAAATGACGTCGTTTTGACTAAAAACGTGCGTCCTATTTAAAAAAAACAAATCAGTTTTGATTCCCCTCAACAGCATTATTGTGGATATATAGTTATGAATTTGTGGATATATAATTATGAATTTGTGAATATTTAGTTCATTCATTGTGGATATTTGGTTCATTCATTGTGGATATTTAGTTTATTCATTGTGGATATTTAGTTCATTTATTGTGGATATTTAGTTCATTCATTCTGGATTTTGTGTTATTCATTCACTGTGGGTATATAGTTATGAATTTGTGGATATATAATTCAAATTATGCACACAAAAAATGCTATTGCCGGGAATCGAACCTGATTTTTTTTTTTTTTAAAGTGAGACGCGCGTTTTTAGTCAAAACGACATCGTTTTTGCAACCGTGTGCACTATACATAGTGCACACGGTTGCACAGCATAATTTGCGCTCTTTGTTGCGGAACTCAATCGAGGGGAGGAAAACGGATTGTAAAGTGAACAAGAAGAATTGTAACTGTTTCATTGAATTGAAGAAAGGGGAAGAAGAAAGAGATTATATACACAAGCTAACTACTTAACAGAAATCTTAACTAACAAAGGATGAAAGCTATGCTGCTAACTGTCCAATAATGCCACGTGACTTATCCAACATAATGCCACATGTCCTATACGGAATGCCACATGTCTTAGTCTCTTGATAGCCCCCCGCAAGCTGGAGAGTACATATTGAACAATCCAAGCTTGGAAATATACTTGTGGAATGAACTGGGACAATGTGTCTTAGTGAATGTATCTGCCAACTGATTTTCAGACCCAACATGGAACAGCTTGATTACTCCTTTGCTAAGTTTCTCTCTGACAAGATGGCAGTCAAGTTCGATGTGTTTGGTGCGCTCGTGGAAGACTGGGTTCTCTGCAATGGCAATGGCGGATTTACTGTCACAGTAAACAGCTGAGGGAGCACTAGTGTTAACTTCCAGCTCATGCAGTAGGTATGATATCCATTGAACTTCACAAGTTGTAGCTGCCAATGCCCTATATTCAGCTTCGGATGAGGACTTGGACACAGTTACTTGTTTCTTGGACTTCCAAGACACCAAAGCATCCCCCAAAAAAAATACAAAAACCAGTCACAGATCGTCTAGTATCAACACAAGCCCCCCCAGTCTGAATCAGAAAAGGCCTTCAACTTTAAGTCAGATGTAGAGGGAAAGAACAACCCTTGAGCAGGGGCAGCCTTGATGTACCTAAGCACTCTATGAGCAGCCTGTAGGTGTGAATGAGTGGGACAATCAAGGAACTGAGAGAGTTGCTGAGTTGCAAAACTGATATCCGGTCTGGTGATAGTTAGATATAAGAGTTTTCCAACTATCTTTCTGTACAGTGTGTTGTCTTCAAGAGGCTCACCAATATGCTTGCTGAGTTTATGGGATGGAACTGTGGGGCTATGAACTGGCTTGCAATCTGTAAATCCTGTATCATTGAGTAATTCAAGAGTGTACTTTCTTTGGCATACAGCAATCCCTCTACTTTGTCTAGCAACTTCTAGACCTAAAAAATATTTCAAGGATCCCAGATCCTTTATTTGAAATTTGGCATTGAGTTGCCCTTTGATTTCCTGTATGGCTTTTATGTCTGCACTAGCAACAATTATATCATCTACATATACTAGCAAAGCCATGAAAGAGTGTCCCTCACCTTTAGTGAACAGAGAATTATCAGGTACAGATTGTTTAAATCCCATACTTTGTAAGGCAAGGCTTAGCTTAGTGTTCCACTGCCTGCTAGCTTGCTTCAAACCATAGAGAGACTTATGTAACTTGCATACCAGACCAGCTTTATGTCCTGATACGCCAAGGGGTAGGTGCATATATACTTCCTCTTCTAATTCTCCATGGAGGAAAGCTTGACATCCATTTGGTGTAGATGCCAACCCTTTGCTGCTGCCACTGCTAGGAGTGTTCTAATTGTGGTCATTTTGGCCACTGGACTGAAAGTGTCTAAATAATCAATGCCCAAAGTTTGATTGTAACCCTTTGCCACCAATCTTGCCTTGTACCTTTCAATAGTGCCATCAGACTTATGCTTGATTTTGTATACCCATTTGCAGCCAATGGGTTTTTTGAGGGGTGGAAGATCTACCAATTGCCAAGTATCATTTCTTTCCAAGGCTTTGATCTCCTCCTCCATAGCTTTCCTCCAGCAAGCATCTTGAACTGCTTCTTGATAGGATTTAGGTTCTGAATGACATGTTATATTCATGACAAATGATTGAAAACCTGCTGATAGCCTGCTATAGTCCAGAACCTTACTCAAGGGATGAGGTAAGGTTTTCACAGCTAAATTTTGGCATACATAATCTTGCAGGTAAGTGGGGGTATTTTTCTGTCTTGTGGACTTCCTAGTAGCCTGTTGTTGATGAGTTTCAACACATTGTGATACATCATGTGACTGCCTCTGGTTCTCAGACAGGGAATTAGAACCAGTGTGATCATTCTGACTACTAGTTTGAGGACTTGCTTCATTAACTGGCTCAAGGCCTTCATGCAGATCTTGAGTCTGAATCTGTTCATTGCTGTCATTGACTGGTTTTGAACATGAGACACTTTTAGAATCTTCACTGAGAATGTTGCTCATTGTGGGCAGTATGATCTGAGGGGGTCTCTTTTCCTGACTGTTGCCTTGCTGAAAGGGGAATACTTGTTCATAAAGGACTACATCTCTAGACATGAAGAGCTTTTTTGACAGCAAGTCATAGAGTTTATATCCTTTTGTGTTGCTCCCATATCCAAGGAAAATGCACTTTCTAGCCCTGCATCCAGCTTTGACTTGGGTCCTACTGTGGTGGCATATGCTAGGCAGCCAAAGACCTTCAACTGGCTGTACTGTGGGGTCTTTTTGATAAGGACTTGGAATGGGATTTGATTGTTGATAGCAGCAGAAGGGAGTCTATTGATCAAGTAAGCTGCATGTAGGACACATTCTCCCCAAAACCACTCTGGTAAGCTGGCTTGGAATCTTAAAGCCTTGGCAACTGACAGCAAGTGACCATGTTTCCTTTCAACTCTGCTGTTTTGCTGAGGTGTGTGCACACAAGAAGTTTGATGCACAATGCCCTTGAGTCTGAAAAAAATCAGTCATCTTGAATTCAGCCCCATTATCTGACCTTAGGCATTTCACACTTGTACCAAACTGATTCTCAACAAGGCTGCAAAAACCTGTAATCAGACTTCTCACCTCAGACTTGGTCTTCATCAGATATACCCAAACAGCCCTACTGTGATCATCCAATATAGTAAGAAAGTAATGATGGCCACATGTGGTAGCCGTTTTATAGGGTCCCCATATATCCATATGTACAAGATCAAAGCAGTTAGTTGAGATAGAAGAACTAGACTGAAAAGGAGACCTTTTTTGTTTTGCAAAGTGACAAGAGTCACATATCAATTCTTTATTGACTTGAATAGTGGGTTCCAAATCTTTCAAGAGTTGTAATTTGGAAAATGAAGCATGTCCTAGTCTAGTATACCACAAAATACACTTGTTAATGACAGAGATTGAATTGCACATTGCAGATACAACAGGAAAAATCAAATGGTATAATCCACTGCACAGCTCAGCCTTTCCAATCACCTTGCCATGGGTTGCATCCTGTATAATGCATTGATTAGAATACATTTTCATGGTAAGGTTGGAATTCTTGATAAAAGCCCCTACTGAAATCAGATTGTGTTGAAAACCAGGCACATACAATACATTTTCCAGAATGAAATCATCAGATAGATGCACTGAACCAGTGAAAGTGATGGCAGCTTGTTGACCATTTGGCAATTTAACATGTAAGTTGTGAACCCTTTCTTGAGTGTTTAGTAGCTTCAAGTCACATACAATATGATGTGTGGCACCACTGTCCACAATCCATTCAGGCTTGTCACAATTAACAGTATTAAGTGAAGGAACCATACCTTCATTCAAGAAGTCTGCTGAGACAGTGTTGACTGAAGTCTGTGGGGGCTGCTCAAGAGGTGAACTCAGATATTCACACCCTGATCCACTATTGGTTATCTTTCTCATTTGCATAAAATCCATGAACTTTCTGAAGTCATCCTGATTAAATCCCATACCACCATCAGAGTTGGACTGTTGTGTTGGTGATGGTCCTTGGGTTTGATTAACTGCACCTTGGTTCCTAGACCTTGGCTTCCAACCTGGGGGATATCCATGCTTTTTGTAGCATTTGTCCACAGTATGGCCAGTGTACCCACAATATGTGCAAATAGGTTTCTTGTTATTTGCAGAGGTTTTCTTGTATCCTTGTTGGAAGCCTCCATCATTCCTAGTCATGAATACACTTCCTGTGGCACTACTCTCTGTTGTTTGGTGCAATTGACTCTCAAAACTGGAATCAGCCATCTCAAACTGCCTTTCTTGTTGTGCGATCATAGAATATGCATCATTCACATCAGGCAATGGTCTCATAAGCATTATCTGATTTCTTGCTCCAGTGTATTTCTCATGTAATCCTATCAAGAATATGGACAGCTTGTCCTTTTCAAATTGATCATTCATATCATCTAACTTTTTTCCACATTCACACCTAGTGTTGCAAGCACAACACATCAAGGGTCTTAGGATGCTCAATTCATCCCACAAGAACTTCTGCTTAGTAAAGTACTCATTCAAAGATCTGTCTTCTTGCCTTGTTCTGTAGATCTGACACTTAATTTCTGCTATTCTGAACAAGTCCTGTTTACTAAACCTTCTCTTTAAATCATTCCAAATTCCATGTGCAGTGTCTATCCATAAGACACTGCGCCCAATCGTAGGAGATAAAGTGCGGACAATCCACGATGCAACTATATTGTTACATCTCTCCCAGGCCATGAATTTCTCTATATCGTCTGTAGAAGGTTTCACGATAGCTCCATTGATGAATGCTATCTTATTTTTACAGGACAAAGCCATGGTCATAGCCCTAGCCCATGGGTGGTAATTCGTACCATCCATTGGGAAATTGACAAGTTCTAGGGCAGGGCTTTCATTGATGTGCAAGTAGTAAGGATTTGCATGAGATTGGGGATCAAAAGTTACCCCAATATTAGTTGACCTTGTCGCCGGCGCAGATGGTGCAATCGTCGGAGCTGCCGTGTTGGTATTTGCCTGATTTCCGGTGTAGTTTGCTGGTGCGCTAGTGTCCAGCACCGGTCGATTGCCAATCGTCGACCAAGCATCCATGAGAGTCGATGAAGAAGCTCCTTAGTTGCGATGCTCTGATACCATGTTGCGGAACTCAATCGAGGGGAGGAAAACGGATTGTAAAGTGAACAAGAAGAATTGTAACTGTTTCATTGAATTGAAGAAAGGGGAAGAAGAAAGAGATTATATACACAAGCTAACTACTTAACAGAAATCTTAACTAACAAAGGATGAAAGCTATGCTGCTAACTGTCCAATAATGCCACGTGACTTATCCAACATAATGCCACATGTCCTATATGGAATGCCACATGTCTTAGTCTCTTGATACTCTTTGGTCGGCAACGAGTTCAACCACTTGGGCCGAGTTCAAGCATCGGTCCAACTACTCTTAACGGCATAACCCCATCAACAACGACGACTTGTAATACGAATCAAAAAGTATAATTAAAACTAATCATTATATATATAAACAAAATGAAAATATAAAAATCAGCACAATTATTCTACATGTACGTTCATTATCTTACGATGAATAGTCATGAATGTTCATTATTTTTACCATAGAGAAGTCATGCATGAATAGACGTATTATTTCACCATTACAAATGCACCACATTGATTTTAATTTTCACCCTCTATTTATATTTTATTTTATAATTTATATTAAGTCACCAATGATAAAAATCAACATATATTTAATCCAAACGCACCTCAATTTGTTTAAACCTCTAGTCAATAGTAATGCCCAATGAAAACCTCAAGATATTTGTGCAAGTGACAAAGACATACATAATGGAAAAAAACATTTAACTAACCATTCAATGAAACATCATGGAGAAAACCCAAAAGTGGAGGGAAGTATCCAATAGGTGCCTGGCCACTCACTCACCCACGTCCCTCTTTTGTTCGGTCTTTGTCGTCGTTTGCACCCACAACTCGTACCACTTTTGACTTTTTGTTCGCATCATAAATGAAGGGGGCAATGGAACAATCATTATACATTTATACCCTTGACCAGGGTTCACAATTGCACTATGGAATCTAGTTTATATGTTTGTGTTTTGTATTATGATTTTTTGTGTTTTGCGTTATAAAATTAATTTTGTATATTATACGTATAAATTATGTACTTAGAACAAATTAATAATTGTATCTTATGTTATGAATTTTGTGTTTGTGCTACAAAATTTTATGCTTATAAACACAAATTATGTACTTAAATCATATTTTAAAAAAAAAAAGTAAATATATAACATATGTATGCGTCTTGTGTTATGATTTTTTTTTTGTATGACCCCAAAAAAGCGTTCACATAAAAAAATTAAGATTAAAATTTTAAATATAAAATGAGAGTATACGTCATATTTTCCACCTTGCAATTACCTCTGCCTTTTATCCCTTCTGTCGGTCAGTCTTTACCTTAGAGCATCCTTATCAATTGGAGATATTATGGGGAGAATGTAAGAGTGAGTAGGAAAAAGAATAATGTGGGAGGGGAGAAAAAAAATCAAAACTGATTTAAAAAAAATATAAAAAATAAGCATG